TACACCAATCTGATGGCCATGAGAGGATGACCATGATGATCCTTGGTCAATGTACGTGCAGGCAACTCCCCAAAGTCAAACAGGCTTGGCAACCAATGGGCCTGAAATTGTTGCCTAACACCTCCAATCTGGCCCAAACCCCCCTTGGTTCATTCTTTTTCTTTTTGTTTTATATTTTCTAATTTAGTTATTAATTCTTTTTTTTTAATTATCATTATTACCACCAAAATTAACATAATTAATATTTTTCATAAAAAATCAAAAAAAAAAACTAATATTATTATTATTTGTTAACTTATTTTGTAAATAAATTCTAACATTAATTAACTTAGTTGTTTAATTAGGTTTAATTTTAATCTTTTCACAATAAATAAAATTAATTTAGAATTAGGTCTTTCTTTTGACAATTTTTATTTCCTTTTATTTTATTTTCATTAAAAATATAAAAAAAAACACAAAAACATTTTTTCTTTAGTTAATTAATTAATTAGTTTAGGGTTAATATTTAATTAAATGCAAAATTCAATTTCTTTATTTCTAAAAAGGGTCAAAACCCTTGAGACGTTCCCGATTCAATCTTCTTTCGCGCTTTAATTTCTTTTGGTTATATTTATGTATCTGTACAGAATCTGTAATAGTTAATTAGGATTTTATCGCCTTATTTAAATTCTCGCACTTTATTTTCCAAAACGGGTTTTTGTTTTTGGCGATGTATAGACCCGCGCCTTGTAATAGCTAGATTTACATTCCTGCAATTTATTTTCCGCACTCCTAACTGTTAAAAAATGCATGAAAGAATGTATGAAAAATAAAATCAATCCGTAGCTCACAAATAACATGTACCAGATAAACATAACATGAAAACAACACACAAGCACATGCCACCCCTAGGGTATGCCTCACTGGATGCCTCGAACTTGGTCATCAAGTATAGGGTGTCTTAGAGGTCTCCCTTCTGTCTAAAAGATCCAGTCGCCTTGAAACGGTTTCCTCGGATAAAAAGGATCTAGGACATTAGGGTTACTTCTAAGGTGTCCTACCATTGCTTCGGTGACCATATTGTCCCGATAATCGAATTGACCCGAATACCTCCAACGATGGTGCTACCTACCCCTCAATGGTGGGATAGCACTATCTAAAGGACTCTTACACAGCTTAATTCCTTAGAGTAGGTAGATTCTCCTGGGTACTTGCTCTTTTCAAAACAAACAAAAACATCTTTTCACACCTACACTTTCAAAAGTTTTCAAACAAATTTTTCATACACTCTTGAGGACAGATACAAGAGTTACTTAGAAATTTTTCAAACGAAACTTTTTCAAAACCCACACACACTTGAAAAGCAAACAATTTTTGAAAACTCAAGAGCAAGTACCTAAGAGCCCATGGATAACCATGGATAGAAAGGGTGCTAACACCTTCCCTTTCTATAATCTACCTCCCGAACCGAGAGAAATCTCAAAGAAGGAATTTTGCTGTGCTTTTGTCCTTTCCGTGTTGGAGAACATAAAAGACGATGGCGACTCTTGCTTACCGCGACATTTCGCGAAACCAGCTAAAAAACAGTCAGTTCTATTTCCACCGATCACAGAACTGGCGACTCTGCTGGGGATATTGTAAAGTGAGGTGTACCTTAGGAATAGTTCATCATCATGTTTTCAATTGCTTTCCTTGCTTGATTTAATATTGTGGGCCTGTTTTGGGAGTTTCATAGATCCTAACCCGGATCTGGGGGATACCTTTTAGAAAGTAGCAACAAACTGTGAGGGAACTGTGCGGGGTATACCGACACGGTTGAAGCAGTTTGCTACGTTGATGTGGCACTTTGGTGAGTACCGGTAACCCTTGAGTCAAGTCAAGGAGAGTACGGGGCCGCCGCGTGGTGTCGTGAAGCATCAACTGACCTTAGGAACCTTACTTGAACTATCCTGGCCTCTTTAGGGGTAGTCAGATGACTGACTTTGGTGCAGTCCAAAGTTGGTTGATACTCGATACTACACTCATTGAGGGTTGTTTTCTTGGAATATTTTGATCGCCAGTTCAGTGGCTAAATCAAAACAATGAACATAGAAAACAACCCTATGATATTGAGCTCCTTAGAACCCGGTTACTTTTGATAGGACAGGTTTTGAGCCCACCAACTTTAAGAGGGTAGTACCCCAAACTTCATGCTGGCCTAAACTCTAAGGGTTCTCTGTGTGACTTGTGTGCCTTCATACTTGAACTACTTGCATACTTGTTATCTAACAACACGAGTTCCTTGCAGGTTTTGTTTACAGTCCTTAATTGGGACTCATTACAGGGCCTACTTACATCACTCCATGCATATCATAACATCATACCATTGCATACATCCTACATAAGGACTAACCCATTTCAAGGATCTCAAGGGCTTGTGATGCAGGTCATGATGAACCAATAGCAAGGGGCAAAGGGGATTTATTTTCCTCTAGCCAGGTTGATGACTTGAGTCAGGGGCTATGACCCACTCGATATGGTGAGCTTTGACTCTTGAAGAAGGACCCTCAACAACAGGAAGTTCCTTCAATCAAGCAACTGGATTCAAATTCTAACAATTTTCTTGTTTACCCCGCGAGATCCTTGAAAACATTGCATGCATACATACATGTCATTGCATCACAGGTACCCTTGTTACAGGTCACTTACCTTCTTCGCTGTTTATTTCAGCAATGGCTTCCCAACAAGATAACCAGGGTCTTCATGCTCAAGAGACTTAGTTCAGGGAGATCTTCCTAAGCCTATCCAAGGGGCAGGAAGAGTTGAGGACACTCCTCATGGGGAATTTGGCCAAGAAAAGTCCCGAAGATGATAAGGACGAACGGTTGAAACGTCTGCAAGCTGATGTAGATACAATGAGAACCCAGATGCTGGGGCAAATGGCTCTCATCCAAGGCTTAGATCGGGAGCAAGAAGAGTTGAGGACCATGATCAGTCAGCTTCATCAAGACAGATACAACATGAAGCAACCAGTCCAAGTCAGGGACCAGGTCATTGATCAGCTTCCAAGAGGACAAGAGTCTGGTATGGTGAAGAATAGACCTCTCCAAATTGCTACCACTTCACAGGTCCAACCACAACCTCGCCCAGAGCAACAGGTTGATCAGAGTAAGCCAAACAAGCCCAGGAGGCAATTCACCCAGATCAACGTGTCGCTGTTTCAAGCTTTACAACACCTATTGAGATTGAATCTGATTACACTAAGGGCTCCTCCCCGGAATCCCAACATCTCTGCTCCTAACTATCATCCCAACAAAAGATGTGCATACCACTCTGATAGTGCTGGACATGACACTGCCGACTGCTGGGCTCTGAAGAACAAGGTCCAGGACTTGATTAATGAAGGAGCAGTGGATTTCACCCAAGAGGGTCAGGCTGAGTTCTTCTACCATCCCTGTAGGATTCACCATTTGAAGTGACAAGTCCTGAGACGAGAAGACTTTTTGTCCATTAGAATTTTCAAGTTTTAATTTTCTTTTGATTCTTCAAACAATTATTGTCATGGCAAACTTTATTACTTTATCAATGCATCGCATATGTCTGTTTTGAATCAATATATTCGCATTCGCTATATTCAAACTGCTTTCATTTTTGTGATGTTCAAACTCTCGATTAATAATTCTAAGCCTCTTGAGGGAGGATGACGAAAACGATACCACAATCTACAGTATGCTTTTGAATAGACCCCGCTGATGAGGTACAAGCATTGTTTCAAATCCTAAACACTGGAGTTATAAGGAAGATAATCCCTCGTCAACCCCTTTGAGCCAAAGAAGTTGGAGTTTTTCTTTTCAAAAATTAAAACCCTTAATCATAACCTGGGGCAGGGTAGTCTTCTCAGTTGATCCAGGTGCACAACGAATGACATCAAAGGAGTCCTTCTAAAATAAAAGACAGTGATGGTTCCCTATAATCGTCAAGACAGGCAGTCATTACCAAAAAAAAAAACTAAAGCCCAATAAGTCAAAACTTATGAAGGAGACTTACAATAAAACTAGGGCATCCCGCTGACTGTAATCCTAAAAGAAACAGTTCAGGAAAAAACAGGGATAACACAATCAAAAAGAAAGAGGTCCAACAAACCCTCGACAAAAGGAAATGACTGCATATTCAAAATAAACTGTCAATATCCGAACCATCACTGGTATATCAGGACAAAGACTCAAACAAGGTCTAACGCACGGTCAGCTGAGCTTAGGTTTGAAGAACATCACGAAGAACGGGTGGGTACAAATAATTTGAGCCTTTATCCTTTGTTTCTTAAACCGTGAACCAGGCCACGTTATAACCCTCAAAAGTCCTAGCTGAAGCATGGGTTAGTTCGAAAGCATATTGTTACGAAAGGTATCCTGACTCCTTAAGGCTTGTGGTAAAATAACGAGTTGACATCACAGTTTACAAAAAATTCACTTGTTTTTATGAAAAAATACATTTTCAAAACTTCAAGACAGACATAAGCTTTGCACTTTTAATATAACATTGCTTGCATATGACTATTCGTTTGAACAACATAGAAGTTCGCACGGCGAATGTCTAATGAACAAAAGCACCTCCAATAAAGGGGCATGGCATGATCATTGTCCATCATCTGGGGCAGTTAAGTCAAGATTCGGAGAATCTCTCAAAAGGCCAACCAGCTTGGGGCAAATCTCCATCTGGATCACTTGGGGCATTGGACAGGAATTCTAGCAACGAATCTTGCACAATCAAACATCTTCTGGTAGCATGGCAACACAGCACTACTGACAGGGGCACCTCCCTACATCCGGAGAGCGTAGACATAGTCAAAAAATACTGCGCATAATCAAAGACCCGCTAGGTTAACACACCTAGGCAAAAATAAGGGATGAAAAATAAAAAAATTGTACACCCGGCAAGTCGAAAACCTGAAAAGGCGGCTTGGGCAAAAATGGGTATCCCGGTGGACTGAAAACCCGAAAGGGTGGTCCAGGCAAAAAAACTAGGGATCAAAGCGTACGACTATGTCCGGCATCTCGTCACTTGCCTACCAGAAGAAGACTTGTCAAAAGGCAATTATCAAGCACCTCTACAGGTACCTTCTCCCACAGAAGTTGGGGCAATCAGAGCCTGATGGAACATGGATAATACTTGAATTCAATAAGAATAATTGTGCAGTAGGACCGGCTTCTGGTTTGCTAGCAGGATATTTGGGTATAATTATTAGAATGTTTAGAGATATTCCCATAATGTTTGAGAGTTGGAAGAATGTTCCAGCAGATACAAAAACAAAGTTTTATGAATCAAAGATAAAGGTATTATTATTAAACAATTACATATTTTTTAAATTAACTTCATGGTGATTATTATTTCCTTTGTCAACTAATATATTTTTATGTTTAGCGCCATTTTCTTGTGGATGATGGGCGTGACAAAGATTTTGTACTTGCTTCTGCTGCAAGGAAATGGAAGGATGCTCGACATACATTGTTTCACGAATTTTATAGATGGGATCTCCCTTTGGAGGAAAATCTTCAAAATTATCCAAAATGCAGAGGCATTCCTGAAAATGACTGGGCTGTTTATGTTCAATATAGGCGGAAAGAAAAAACACAGGTAACATTAGTGTTTTTATTTGTTAGATTTCTCTGGTTTGTATGTTATCCCTATCTATAATGCATGTTTTTATTTGTTACAAATGTAGAAAATATCCCAAAAAAATTCCCAAAATAGAGCAAAATTGAAGGCTCCACATACACTCGGATCTAAGTCGCTTGCAAGGAAGAAACATGAGTTGGTATGTCTAAATCTATATGTTGTTGATCGTTTGCTTGATAGTACAAACAATTTATATTAGTTTTTATTTGCAGGAAATGAGAGATGGACGAACATACAGCAGAGGAGAAATGTATGCAGTTTCTCATAAAAAGCCTAACGGGTCATTTATCAATGAAGATGCATACAACAATAATGTAAGTACAAGTTAATTCTTTTGAAATACTGGGGAAAAAAACGGTAATAGTAATAGAACCATCCCAAATAAAACTCACCACTGGAATTTATATATATAATATGGAGAAAGAGCCCGATATATGCTTGGATTCCACTTGATGACATTGTAAATGCCAATCGTGAAAATAGATAGTAACCATAGGATGATTATGGGAGGAAACATGAAAGCAATCGCATGGGAGCCACGGTGTTGCAAAATAAAGAGACCAACCAGTAGAACACAGGAAATAAGAGGCATCATACCTGCATAGATTAGAAGCGTAAGTTGTAATGGAAAAATCACCTATGCTGCATTTGACATATATTTGAAACATTGAAAACTGTGGGGTAACTTTAGTGGGAAATTTCAGAATAAATATCCTAGAGTGATTTTGTTTATACTGAAGAATGGTGGATAGCAAGCTTTACTGAACTTCTTGTAAACAATTCTCCATGTCACATTTGCAATAGTTTGTGCCACCTCCTAGTTTGTGCCAACTTCTTTTTACGTATATATGGAAGTCCATGATTTGATCAAGAGGTTCTCCCCCAATATATTATTCTTGTTATATAAACAATAGCTCAATTTTTTCTTTTTCATGTGCAGAAAAAATTACAAGCTGCAATTAAGGATTCTGTGTCTGAAAATGAGGCATTTCAGAAAGTATTTGGAAAAGAAAAGCATGGATATGTTCGTAGTATGGGACTTGGAGTTACACCATCTCAAATTAATAGATCTACGAGATCGACATCTTCTTCTGCAGAAAGTGAACAAATAAAGGAAATGCAAGAAGAAATTAATGCACTTAAAGAAAAGAATTCAAAAATTGATGAATTAACACAGGCAATCATATTCTTAACGCAAAAGGACAAGGCGAGGACAAAGGAAATTGAACTCTTAATGCAAATGCAGAATTTTAGTGGAAGACAGGTATATTATTTTGACGCATTTAAAGTTAAATTTTATGAGTATTATTTTAAAGATTATTATTTTAATACCTTTTTTTAGGGATTGGAATCACCCGCTGATGGTAGACGTTCATCTGAGTCTAGCTACCGTATTGGAGATAATGGAACTTCAGGGGGGACAAATTAGACTTTGCTATGATCGAGATAATTAGATTGTGAACTTTCTCATGTATTTTTGGCATAATGATACTTATTATTATAAGATTAGGAATTGATATATTTTGGGTTTTTTGTACTACTTGACATGATTATGGAACTCGCATTTTACATGATTATGGAACACACATTTTTTTGGATATTATAATGCTTATTTGATGTTAAATATTTTTTATTGAAATTATTTTTACTATATTACAAAGTGATAGAAAATAAAACAAAAAATAATACTATAAATAAATATATTAAAGAAGAAATAATTTAAAGAAAAAAATAACACAAAAAAAACTATATTTAAAATTTTTTACATAGATAATAATTTAAATAAAAAATATATATAATAGAAAAAAAAATCAAGACATAAACAAAAGTCATGGCGACAGTACCGAACCGTCGTAATCAACAATTAAAAATAATCAACAAAAGTCATGACGGTATCGAACCGTCGCCATAAACAATTTAATCAATTTCAAAAGATATTCACGACAGTATCGAACCGTCGCCATCAATAATTAAAAGAAACTCAAAAGATAGTCACGACGGTATCAACCCGTCGTAAACTTGAACGACAGTTTTTGTAACCGTCGCGAAATAGGTTAGGGACACACACTTCTGCGACGGTAAAGCAACCGTCGTGGAAAGCAAATTGCGAAGGTTTTAACCATCGTAATCTACAAAAATACCTGTCGCAATCTGCCAATTTTCTTGTAGTGTAAGCGGTCTAGCTACTCAGTCCTCCAGGTATAAGGTAGTTTCAGCTGAAGAACGTAACCCAGTTACCTCCACTCCCCAAGAGTAAGACAGAATCAACAATACTCTCCCCAGGAAGAGTTGGTCTCCCATCAGCCCCGAAAAGGCACAGTATCTCCAACAAGTCAGCAACACTCTCCCCAAGAAGAGTTAGTCTACTGTCAGCCTTAAGGAAGTTGGGTATCCCCAGAAGATCTCAACATTCCCCAGCGGAGTATACAGATGTTCCTCTACAAGCATCCCCGGCAGTCTTAATCTGAGATTGTTCCCCGACGGAATACCAGACATCCCGGTGGAGCCACTTCCCCAGTGCGGTCCAAAAGTTTCCCCAGGAGAGTTGCATCATCCTCCCCAGTAGATTCTGGAAGCTTATCCCCAGTAGATTCTGGAAGCTTATCACCTGCAGAGTACGAACGCATCTCCCCGGCTTTATTCAAAGTTATTCCTCACCAAGAGCTTATAACTGGGTTATCCTTAGCTAATTACCACGGAAAGATCGCCCTCGGCGAAGTCCTTCCTATCCCTAGCGGAGTTCATCAAATTCTCCAACAAAACTTATCAATGGTATCCCCAGCGAAGTTACCATCAAAACCTCAGCGAAGTATCTCTTCCCACAAAGAAATTCCCCGCAGAGTAATCTCTTCATCAAGTTTATTCCCCAACGGAGTCATCTTCTCCTACCGGTTTATTCTTGCAACCATCATCCCCAGCGGAAGCGAAGAACTCCACTCTTCAAACATCAGCCCAGGATTCAACAAACTCCCGGCATTCGTCAAGGATTTATTTTCCTAGACGAAAATACATTCATAGACATATCACATCTCGTACATCCTGCTTACATACATGATAAAGTGCATACGCATCATATCACACAATGTTGAGAACATCATGACATCATGCATTTCATACATCATGATATTGCATACAACTGATGTTTTGCCTTTTCAGGAAAAAGTTCAGTACAAAGATGATTACTATCAACTGTCACAATTCTGGATTCGATACCTGTATCTAGCTAGGGCATATCTGTGAGCGAGTAGTTCCAGATTCGATTCTTGTATCTAGCCAGGGCACGTCTGTGAATGATTGTTTGTAGGTTCGATACCTGTATCCAGTCAGGGCACGTCTGTAAGCAACCTTTTGAAGTTCCAGATTCGATTCCTGTATCTAGCCAGGGCACGTCTGTGAATGATTGTTTGTAGATTCGATACCTGTATCCAGCCAGGGCACGTCTGTAAGCAACCTTTTGAAGTTCCAGATTCGATTCATGTATCTAGCCAGGGCACGTCTGTGAATGATTGTTTGTAGATTCGATACCTGTATCCAGCCAGGGCACGTCTATAAGAAACCTTTTGAAGTTCCAGATTCGATTCCTGTATCTAGCCAGGGCACGTCTGTGAATGATTGTTTGTAGATTCGATACCTGTATCCAGTCAGGGCACGTCTGTAAGCAACCTTTTGAAGTTCTAGATTCGATTCCTGTATCTAGCCAGGGCACGTCTGTGAAGGATTGTGTAGATTCGATACCTGTATCCAGCCAGGGCACGTCTGTAAGCAACCTTTTGAAGTTCCAGATTCGATTCCTGTATCTAGCCAGGGCACGTCTGTGAATGATTGTTTGTAGATTCGATACCTGTATCCATCTAGGGCACGTCTGTAAGCAACCTTTTGAAGTTCCAGATTCGATTCTTGTATCTAGCCAGGGCACGTCTGTGAATGATTGTTTGTAGATTCGATACCTGTATCCAGCCAGGGCACGTCTGTAAGCAACCTTTTGAAGTTCCATATTCGATTCCTGTATCTAGCCAGGGCACGTCTGTGAAGGATTGTGTAGATTCGATACCTGTATCCCGCCAGGGCACGTCTGTAAGCAACCTTTTGAAGTTCCAGATTCGATTCCTGTATCTAGCCAGGGCACGTCTGTGAATGATTGTTTGTAGATTCGATACCTGTATCCATCCAGGGCACGTCTGTAAGCAACCTTTTGAAGTTCCGGATTCGATTCCTGTATCTAGCCAGGGCACTTCTGTGAGCGATTGTTTGTAGATTCGATACCAGTATCTAGCCAGGGTATATCTACATGAAGAGTCTGAAGATCAACACCTGCAACAGGCCAGGAGATTATCTTTCTCAGGTACGCAAGTTCTCGCTAAGGAATCTCTTACGCGATCGACACCCCGATGGCATCTTTAAGCCCATCTCCACAACTATCAGTCACACTTCCAAATGGCATCTATAAGCCCATTCCCGACAAGGTTCTGCCACACTTCCAAATGGCATCTATTAGCCCATTCCCGACAAGGTTCTGTCACACTTCCAAATGTCATCTATAAGCCCATTCCCGACAAGGTTCTGCCACACTTCCAAATGCCATCTATAAGCCCATTCCCGACAAGGTTCTGTCACACTTCCAAATGGCATCTATAAGCCCATTCCCGACAAGGTTCTGTCACACTTCCAAATGGCATCTATAAGCCCATTCCCGACAAGGTTCTGTCACACTTCCAAATGGCATCTATAATCCCATTCCCGACAAGGTTCTGTCACACTTCCAAATGGCATCTATAAGCCCATTCCCGACAAGGTTCTATCACACTTCGGAATGGCATCTATAAGCCCATTCCCGACAAGGTCCTGTCACATCTCCAAATGGCATCTTTAAGCCCATCCTCCTATCCACCATCTCTCCAAATGGCATCTGTAAGCCCATTCCCGACATCACACTGCTGATACTCCATTATGCGAGTGCAAATTTCTGGGCACTCTAGTGTTCAATCATCTTCCACCTTCGGATCACGAAAGGCACGCAAGCCAATCTACATCCTCAGGTCTAAGAAGATTGAACAGGGGCAACTGTTGTACCCCAAAATTTTCCCTTCCATATTCTTCAAAGTTTTGACAAGCATCATCTCAATTTGCTCAAGTCTACTCAAGGGTTGCACAGTCAAACCATCCTCCTAAGCCAGTCAAAATTAGGGTTTTGGTTCTTGCAAGGAAGTTGAGGTTTTCAAGGGCTCAATCAAGTCCCATGTGCCTATAAACATTGTCAAACATCTACATGCCAAGTTTCAAGGCTCACAGGGTCAAGTTGCACAGTCAAAAACCCTAGTTGCTCCACAATCAACTGTAGGGGTAAAATGGTCATTTGGCAGTCAAAAGTCAAAAAATTTGGTCAACATCTTATTTTAAAGCCACAATCATCATTTGATCAAGTATTGGTCATGATTCCACAAGCATGGCTCAAAAATCATCAAGGTGTCAAAAGTTTCTATTTTTGTACAGCTGAAAAGTCAACTGTAACTTAACCAAGGCATAACTTTTTCATGGTTCATCATAAAAATCCCATCCAATGCTCATTTTGAAGGGGAGGACATTTCCTACAACTCACCTTCACATTCCAAGTCCAAGAAATGCTCTCACAAAAAGTTATCAATTTCAACATTATAGGTCATTTTCAAAAGTCAACAAAAAGGCATTTTAAGTCAAAGACCATAACTTGAGATTGGTAAATCCAAATGACATGGGACCAAAGGCATTGGTTAAAGGACTTCTAGAACTTTCCAAAATGTCCAAGAACATGTTCATATGATCAAAATTGAGCAAGATATGCATTGGAGAAGTTGGGAAATTTTTGTGAAATGACAAAAGTCAACTATCCTTGAAACTTCAATTTTTGACAAAAGGTCCCACTTTCTTCCACTTGATTCAGCCTTGTCATGCCACCCACGTGTCCCATGATTAATTTCAAGACCAAACATTTATTTTTTTCATTTTTATTTAATTTTTATGGATTTAATTCATAATAATTCAAATAAAAATCTAGAAATTAATTGAATGACATCTTTGAGGTTAGAATGGCTTTCATGTGTCATATTCCACATACCAAATTCGTGCCAAGCTCAATTATGCATAAAATTCAAAATTTGAACAAACTTGGAAAGTCCTTTAATGGTGGTTATGAAGAATCTCAAAACTTAATTGCAATGGATCATTGGCTCATAATGTGACCTAATTTCATTCACATGTACATATGCAAGCCTTCCCAACCTTATTCACGACCTGAACACTGCAGAAACACCCCAACCATATTCAAAAAATCAAGCAAAAAAGTCAAAACTGATCTTGATACTCCAGGCCTTTTCAAAGCGATTTAAGGACTCTAATACATTGCTAGCATTGCCAGGAACATGTTTCAATTAAAAGCAAGCCTCAAAGCTCAAG